AACAAAACACAACAAACAACAAACAAAACACAACAAACAACAAACAACAACCAACAAACAACAAACAACAACCAACAACCACAACAACAAGTTAGCCTGCTTGCTTGGGGCCTGCTAGCTATGAGCCCAAAGTTCTTTTTCTCCCATTTCTTGTGGGCAATGGACCTGCCGAGTCTTCCGACCTTTTGGTACCTTCCGACCTTTCGGGTCATGACCTGGTCGGGAGATCTGTACAAATCTACCTCCCAAACGCTCCGTTCAGAACCCCTGGAGGCGGTGCCTAACCTCCAATTACCCTCTGGCTCACCATGCTCACCTTTTACATGAAACTTGAACATGGCTCCTTGGAAGACTAGGTACTTTCCATAACGAACACGGTAGTTTTCACTTCCATGGAAGTGCGCCGGAGGGCATCCCCAAAACGATTGCTCCGTCTGGGTTCATGCTCCGACACAACTGGCTCCACCCAGCTTCCCCAGCCCAACGCGACCGTCGCTCAACGCTGTGCAACGCGACCGTCCCGTACCAGGGTCCTGTAATGGTGGCCGCTCCGGCATCAGCTGGCTCGCCACGAACCAGCGATAGGCGGCGTCGAGGTCGCCCGAGCGGAGGTGGGCGTTGCTAATCTCCTGAGGAACGACGCGATAGGACCGGCGTGACGTTCGGAACAGGCGAAGGCACTTGTTAAGCACTTTCAGTGTGAAGGATGTGACAGGTAAAACACCTGTATACTGTATATTTAAATCTATAGTTCGGTTTGATGGCATATGACATATGCCATTAGGCTCAAGGCATAGTTTGATCTTGCAGAGTTTTGCCAAGTTCTGCTAAGATCAACGGTTGTAAGAACAGTGCATTTGTTCATGCATTGGGCTAATGACCCTTATTTTGATCGTTCCGCCATGTTTCACCCCTTTTTCTCTGGTCCCAGTCTAGAATCTATCCCAGTCGACCTATTGGGTGTACAGTACTGTGTACGGTATATCCCATTACAGGCCTTTCTTAATAGTGATTGTTGTTTAACGACCGATGCAGGTTTCCTCAAAACACTGGGCCCCCAAGACCTGCATTGCACCAAACACAGCGTTCGCTCAGCGATCACATCGCTCTCATGACTCGTCTCCCGCTGCTCCGCCCAGGCACCAGCACCGCGCTGCTGGTGAGCTCTGTCTGAAAACGCCGGAGGAGTTCTAAGACCGTCCTGAGGACAACGGCGGGACGGTCTAGGACGGTCTAGGACGGAGCGGAAAAGACGGAGACACCTCCGTCTTTCACGAAACAACAAGGAGAGAAGGATTCAAGTACCAGCAGTCACAAAGGGGTGCTTAATGGAGGATAGGGGTGCCCATTATCCACTCACTTAGGGACTAAACACCACCCCTTTGTGACTCCTGGTATATATAGATCATAGTAGATCCTCCTCCACCATCTTTTTCCATGCACACTCAAGCCACATAGAAAAGATGTGTTGGACATCCGTGCCACTTCTCTATTTGAGGACCACTATACGGGGGAACGGGAGATAAAATTCAAGGCTCACAGAAAAATCAATGGACTTTTGGGCATTTTTGGGACACAAGATCCTGTCTAGACGCACTGAATTGCCCGAGAACGGTTGCAGCCGAACATGACGCCATGAACTAACACATGGACTTAGACGGCCAGCTTCTACAGCTCTCTCTCTCTCTCTCCAGAGTGTGGCGCCCAGCTCCCCTGTGGGACACAGCTGTGTTTGTTTCTTTTTCCTCCCTATGGGACCTCAAGAGTTCAACACAACCCAGGACTGGGGCGGCTTGGCTGGCGGAACACCGCGGGGTCGAACTCGCACCAGCGTCCCGCTGTGACGAGAGCGGACGAGCGTGCAGCCACGCTGCAAGCAACATGTTGCCAATCACATCCAAGTATAGGCCGTGGAAGAAGAGAGCTATTAATCAGCACATCGCTACAATACAGTTTACAAGGTGTTGAACTGCTGAGATGCAAACTAGAATACATGGAATCAACATGCATCGCCATTACATCGCTATAATTCAGTTTGATGGGGTCTATTACATCATGTGTATTGGAATTGACCCCATCAACAATTCGCACCGCGAAGACTGAACCAAGCATCTGCCCCAGGTCGATGAGGAACCCCGGTGCTGCGTAGAGCGTCTGCGCCTCGCGGTCTGGGCTTATTGGAAGCGCCGAGGCACCCGGGTTGTGATGGATCTACATTCAAGTGTCCACATCTGTTTGCTCTATTCTATGCCAAGCATTACAGAGCTGTTGGACGGAGCAGCTGAATATGTTTTCAACATCAAGCTGAACGATTTGTTTCAGTGAACATGTGCCAAAGCATGCAAGTCATGCAAGTGAGAATCACGAACTCTTGTGCATCACCCCTGTTTGAGCTTGCCTTCGCCATCCATCAGGTCGAACCTACATCCAGCTATGCATCGGATAGGTCTTCAAACCTAAAACCATGCCACGCACCTCCCATCCCAGGGATCTGCTTTTCTATCTATCCCTAGGCCTCCAAGTACTATTTGTAAGGTCCATCACTACGTTTTCGAATTTGACGCCATGGACAGACTCGGAGATGCTTGGTGTTTTCACTTGAAACAATTTTTAGTCAGAGGGTCCAATCATCGGCAAGTAAGGGTTGAAAATCCCTAGGGCTCCAACCATATCCTCAGAAGGTGGTTAGACCCCCCAAACCCACCCCAACCATCTTCTCAGGAGGTGGTTGGAGCCCTAGGGAATAGACATCTCCGAAACCATCACCGAGACGTCACCAAATGCCACGGGGAAGCCTGGACCACCAGGTGCAGCGTGTCGCCAGTGGGTTGCAACTGAGTCTCCAGCATCTCCTTGATGACCTGCCCAGTGGGTACCAGGTGAGACAAAAAGGCGCAAGCAAACGGAGGGTTGGAGATCTGAGCGCCCTGAAGGTACTGTACCAGTCATATGAAATCCGTCCAATTCGGCTCTAACAAAAAACTCATTCAGTATGGGGCTCCTGTGGCTGGAGCTCAATGTTGTTCCATTAATTTACTTCATTCACTTCATTTCACTGCATCAGCATTCTAGTACCACCATTGCTTCGACTGGAGAAGTGAGGCCGACCATGCCACGATCAAAGCCTGCAGGACCAGCTTAAGGCTGGTCTTTGATCTTGGCAGCGTATGGAGATCTCCAAATAATTTGTGTGTTTATTTTTTTTTGTGTGTGTGGTAGAGGTTTGAACGACTTTCAAGACCAAAACCCGTCACTTGTGCATGTGGGTTTCAAACATGAGAAGTGGTCCGGCAGGGTGACCTGAGTTTTTGGAAGTTTGGATCTACCTGCCTCTTCCAGTCATGAAACACGATGCCTGAAGCGACTCAATGGACTTTGATTGATTGGGGCTTCCTTCTAGCTCATCTCTCACCAGCGCATTGCTTTCAACTCTCAAGGCCCCTAGCGGCTTTCGCGCGCCGCGCTTCTTCGCGGATCCGCGCCAGGTTGGCTCGGTCAGCGGTCAAGGGATGTTGGGCGTTCAGCAAACCTCTTAGGACGTGGTCATAGAGCTGAGCTGCCTCGTGAACATCGATGATGGCCTCATCCTGAACATGTTGGGAGCTTGGAAAGGGTTGAGAGGAGAGGTGTTTCGAAGACGAAACAAGCTTATAAGGGCTGCTTTGGGCTGATGTAAAGCACAAGCATGCAAACACAAGCAGGCCTAGAGAAACAACATTATGCAAGGGTTCTGGGCTCATGCGTATGGGGCTAAAAAGCGTATCAAGGGCTGACCTCTACAGAAGACCAGTAACAGTATGATATACTGTATATCATATCTCTTCTAGCTCACCGTTTGCTTCCCTTTGCTGGTCATTGCAGTTCGTCATACGGAACATTATGTAAGACATGTGGCTAAGCTGCGATGTTTCAAATCTGCAAATTGGTGCCTTAGCCGAGTTTATTGGGGATGCCAGACCTGCGCGTGTGGGACGTGCCCCCCAATAGAGGCGTGCCAAGCAGCGAGGAGGCGTTGGATCTCAGTGGTGGCCACCCGGAAGTTGGAGTACTGCGCCAAGATCTCCAGAATCTGCCCAGGGCTTGTTCGACAGTTCAGCTAGTTCGAAAGTAGCAATCAAAGCACCAAATGAGTTGACCCCTTGAGTTTGCCGTCCGACTCGATCTGGCGTGCGCTCCGCGCTTCGCGCGCTCCTGTCCGGTCAGCTCCAAAGGACAGCGATGGTCGGAGTCCATGCACCATGTCCTGGGTATCAGAATCACAAGGGACACTCTACCAGGACCCCCGGGTTGGGGTGGTTAATGGACACCCCATAACCTCTAAGGAGCTATTGTTGGACACTCCCTTAGGGAGCCTTGGTACAGGAATCCCATGGTGTCCACCCTCCAAACCAATGGGTTCAGATTTTTTGCTGGTCGACAGGCCGGGGTCAGGTGTGATGGCGTTCTTTTTGTGGCCCCTGCGGATGGTCTTGAGAGTTGGGACAAGTTGGTATACAGCATTTTAATACCTGCGGACATGAAGAAGAACTGGGTGGTGCAGGAACTCCAAGGGATGCCCGGTACAACAGAAATAAGGCAAGAATGGTGCTGTCATTGAAAATAGAACAGCTGTGAACTCTGATTCACTCCCAAAAGAATTGCTTGTTTGTAGCCCCACCTGGGGTATGTCATACAGTGTGTCCAGTTTGCACCAAATTGAGAACTCTTGCACATCTAAAGACAGCATCCTTGGCTTCCATCATTAAACAAATATAAGAGGAGTTGCTTGCAGGTTCACTGCATTTCACTGCCATTCACCAGCTCCCAAAGCCCTCATCCTTCTTTCTCGCACACGCAAAATAAGACCTTCCGTCGTCCCAAAAAAGAATTGGGCACGTACCAACTTGCCTCCTCCGCCACATGCTTCTACATGCTTCTCCCCTCTGCTGGCGACACGTTGAAAACAACTCCAAGAGACTCATAGATTCTGGCGGCCTGCTGCAGGGCCTTTGCGGAGAGGCATTCCTCCTAAGATCGGAACCCGCTCGGAGAATGCTCCGAGAAGGCTCCAGCAAGCAGGACCCGACGATAAACAGGTCACCTCCTGCGATGGATAAAAACGTCCTGCAAACACCTCCATTTCGGAGACCTGCTTGGAAGGTGCCGATAGGGTGCTCATCGAGGGCTGGCACTTGGCAAACAAAAGCCAAGAAGTGAAGACTTCAAACCTCGGGAGGACTATTCAACATGATTCGAACTCCACGCCCCCCCAAAAAATCCGAAGAACCTTCCAAACACATGGAGCAAGGCCACTGAAAAGCTCGTGACCCCATCCCCTTGAACGCTCGCCCCCCGGTCGTGATAGCAAGGTGCCAGGGTGGCTGTGACCAGTTCCTCCGTGCTCTGAATCGCGCTCGCAACGGCATTTTCGAGGAGCCCCTGAGCACTCCTTGAAGCGCTTTTCGGACGCGGGCGCGCCGCGCGGCCGGTCCCCCTATGACGGGGGGCACTGACCGTGGCCTTCTCGTGTTGCATGAGAATGCCAGGGCAGTGCAGGGCCCAGAAGCAAACAGAGTGGGGCCCCAACTCTGCAACCTTTGTTGTTTCTTTTGAATGGAAGTCCTTCAGCTGCAAAGCACAAAGCATTTATTAAGGTGGGCAATGTCGACATTACTTGGTTAGTGCGTGCGCATACGCAACCCCCGCGATCAATCAGCCATCCACCAATGCTCGACTTCCGACAGTGTCCTGATCACCAACAATCGTTTTTCCATCTGCATTGATCACCTGTTATTGTGTGACACCTGGCTAGCCTGGCTAGGGTCCAAACTCCAGGCAAACCTTTTTCCATGTCTGGGAAAAACACCAACCCCCCCAAAAAAGAACGGTTCTTGTTCTTAAGTTTGCCCACTCCTCCTCCATCAAAGGCATGTCTATTATGAGAAGGCGCAGCTGCTTCCTTTCCAGCTTCGCTTGGCGAAACCAAAAGCTACTTGGATTTCAGCCGAAAACCCATCGCCTGCAGCCCTTCGGAACGACTCCGGAGTTGAACACCGTTTGAGCCCGGGCCACGGGGTGGACTGAGAGAGCTTCGATCGCAACCTGAGCTGGGTGGACTGGGGGGGGGGGGCGTCCGAAGTCGAATTCGTTGACCTCCTGGTGCCCAGTGCAAGGAAAAATAAAGAACATAAGTCTTGGGAAGGTCAGAGTGCTTCCAAAGAATGGTCGAGGTTATAAGGATGTCATCAAGATGGTCCGAGAGCCAAATTAAGCGGGTGCATGGGATAGGTTGACAGCAAATACAAGACAAAACATCAAGGCCCTTAAAAGCAAGGCTAAAAGGCTCAAGCAGTGCTGTTATCTAAAACCTCCAGAGTCACTATGATAGTATAATGATTCATGAAAGTATAATAGTAAAGTTAGTTAGATGATAACCATCATGATTCCAATCAAAACTGGACTACATCCTCATACCATTCGTCATCTCCAAAAGATCCTAAAGCAGTATGATATAATTCCTCCATCTTCCACACCAGCCGCATGCGCTGAACGGACGAGGCACTCCTCCCGGAAGCTCTCGATCTCACTCGCGGCTCTGCAGTGCGTCCGTCGCTGCGGCCGTACCGTGCGGGCGCTGAGGCGGGCGCTGAAAAGGAGTGCCAGCGGGGAGCCAGTCCAAAGGCTGGGGTGTGATCCTGAATGGAACAAACGGTTCGGCCGCTTGGCATGGTGGGAAATGACTTAAAAGAAAACATCTATAGGCTACTTTGCAGGTTCATTGATGTCCGTGCTGGTTAGAATTGGGCGCTCTCAACCATGGGCGACAACCACCCACGAACTGCCGTCCACTCATGGGCGCACCAACCAAGCAGTTCTCACCTGTTGTCACCTGAGTTTCCTCTTTTCCTGGGCCTTCTGACAGGAACTGGCTGGTGCTTTCAACTCACTTAGAAACATGTGAGTGGGGTTCCATCATCCCAAGTAAAGGACTGAAGATCGGACGTTTCGACCACCAAGGACGTTTCGACCAAGTGGGACCTTTCGACCAAGCATCGATCCACGCCTCTCAGAGACTGGGACTGAAGCACTGCGCGCGGCCGACGTTCGGCGGAACTTGTGGGGCTCCACGCGGCCGCTGGTCGGCTCAAAGTGGCCATGGCACCCGGGGCGAAAACGTGGGAAGATCTCTGTACCAGGTGGCCAGGTGGTGAGGGTCGGTGGTGGGCGGCAAACACAGCGCCGCCGAATTGACGTATCGCCAAACATCTGTTGGAAGGTGTTGGTTTAGAGATCCACTGGGTTCGCTGTAAGGCAATGGCTGAGCTGTTGCCATCCTTCTTGTGTCCACGTAAGACTTCTGTCTAAGGTGAGTCACATTCATACCCCAATTAAGTGTGGATTCCAAGGTCAAAGAAAGCAGCGTTGTGTTGGTTTGATGATGTTTGGGTTTCTTGAAAACACGGTCAAACAGAATCAATCTCATGCAAGTTCTTAGGTCACGCCGAGCTCCAATGATTCTACGTAGGCTGCAGGCTGCTGATTAATCAATTATACAATATAACACACCCCTTCCAGAATGGTTTTGCGGCTACATTGATCAACAGCCAGCATGACACGGGCTGTTCAAAGAGATTTTTCCAGGTGTGCCTTGAGGGGCAGTCTCTTCTGACGATGTCTCTTCTGTGCCTTACTTGGTGCCCCATACCTCAACCACCACCTTGAGCCGGTCGCGCGGTCCATCGGTACAAGCGATGGACCGCACGGGCCCTTCTGCACTCCCAGGGCTTTGTGTTCGCTATCCATCCGAACTATAAAACACATGTTATATTTTGGGTCTAGCCTATTACCTGGGCCCAGTGGATGATGGTTAGGTACCAGGCCTTGTCCAAAAATAGTAATAATTGTTTACAGGTAATAGGACAGACCCAAATTATACTTGTATCCTAATAGGACAGGCCCAAATTATACTTGTATCCTCACTGACTACTGTAACATGAGTGCGAGTATCGACCAAAAAGTGCTGGGTATGCACAGGGAGACATGATTTTACAGGGTTATCAGTTTTGAGGAGGGCCAGTGGCTTTGCGGGCTGCCGGGTGTCAGCCAACTTTGTACATTTCACAACCGCTCCTTGCTGAATTGCTCATTGTTGATTTGGGCGGTTGCTCATGCGATGCTTCCACTCAACTACTGATGTCCTGGCATTGGCTTGAAAACTAAAACCACCTCTGTCCACTCCAACGTTCCACAAGGTTCCTAAATTAAGCACTCTGCAAGGCTCAAAGAGCATCAAAGAGCCCTGACCCCGACGCGAACCCCAAGCAACCAAAGCTATACTGGCAAGGTTAAAATCAACCCACTGCGCCCAGGTCGGCATGTTCCACGTTGCATCTGCTGATCAGATCTGATGTTGTTGCACCCGGGTCTTCGGCCAACCCAACCCCGAACCTTCCCTCGGTGGGCACAGCGCACCGGTGGGCACCGCACGCGGCGGCAAGCAACACCTGACCAACACGCACCGGTGGTTCGCACGGCCCGCCGCGGAAACCGGGCTGTTCATCGCCTAGTCCGAGCGAAAAGCCAGCCTAAAATAGAAACCGCCCTGTCGTTGTTTAAGTGGCGCCACCGGAGGCACGTGGATCCAACAGTTGACCGTGTCAGGGCCCCGGACCAACAAATACAATGGGTTCGGAGTAGATGGCACAATCCCCCAAGGTCGGTGGTTTAGATGGACCCCGATCTAAAGGACATCTTGGGGTGCCAGTGCCATCTACTCTGAAACAACTGTAGGCTGATAGGACCCCAGGCTGGTGTCGGGTCAGACGTCACGGACGGGCGTCGTCCGCTTCATCCAAAGCGGCTGAACATTGGATGAACAAACGGAGTCCTACAACCCTGGTGATCTTCCTCTGGACCCTAAAGTGACAAAGTCATAATAAAAGAATAGAATAAGGCTTTAAGGCTTTAAGGCACGCAGCTCATCCCACTACCAATTGCTAAAGCAAAGAAGAACTCAGCTAGCATGCTAGCTTTCGTGATACTAGGTTGTAAGTCAGAACAGAGTTGCAACCTGAGAGCCTGAACAACCTAATGTTCTGAACAACCTCAGGTCAGACCAAAAGAGCCTAGAATAAGTCAGAACAAACATGAGGTTGTAAGTGATGTGCTCATTCTCTTTTCACCTGTCATCCACCACGCGGTGGACCACCTTTCCTTTCAACTTGCTTCAGGGGTCTGGTCAAATTGGTGAAATGGCTGGGATATTTTACCCAGACTCCAATAGCCCTTGGTCCCTCAAAACCTAGGGATCTGAGACCCCCAAACCCCTCCATGCAGGGTCGCGGCTGGCTCTTAAAAATCTTTAAAAAGTACACACAAACTTCAAGCTTTACACGTCCACGTCCCGACCAAACTTCCGCCCCAAACGAGGTCGCCCTCCGTCCCCCAAAACTCACTTGCCACGGTCCGAGGCGTGCGGAGCGAGGCAGCGGCCGCAGGACGCGCGGGAACTCCGCGACGGTCTTTTTGGGACGGTCCGAAACCAACTGGTTTGGAGCACCATGACCTCTGCCAGCTCATGGCCTTGGGCAGAGGGGGAAGAATCAGATCAGTAGAGACTGGGGAGGAGGATGTAGGAGACTGGATTTGAACATGCAAAGTGCGGGGCTAGTGTGGCAATCTGAAGGGCGTTTGTCAGCCAAACTGGGCTGACACATGCTGACACGATGACAGTTCCATCTAAATCTGTGGGGTATATCTCACTTAGGCTCGCATACTCGTCCTTCACTCGCACACTCATCATCGGGTTAGTTACATGTCCACAAACAAGGACCAAGTCCAGTGGTAGGCCGATTTTCACATGTCAACACCATTCCAGGACCAAACGGCTGACTTTCCATGACTGGAGCTGATGGCTCACTGGTCTGGTCTTTCCATGACTGGAACGAACAACCCAGTCGCGACCGGTCTGCCCTGATGCTTTGGACGAGGACGAGGTCGTTTGGGGCACCGGTGGACCCCACGGACCGATGGCGCTGGAGAGCTTTGGTTCGATCGATGCGGCCGAAGCGTTCGACTGGGATGCGGTCTTTGAAAACCAACGGTGCCAAAAAGACACCAAACATATGACCCAATCATACCAAAGGGCTTCTGTATGGGTTCACAACCTGGAGTTCATGATTGTCTTATATTGTCTTCATGGCAACACCCTAGATGATCCCCTGGATCAAATTACTTCCAACGGCGACCCCTCGCCACTGCCCTGAGTGGGACTTGCCCAGGCACACTCCGAGTGGGAAGCGCCCCCACGCGGCTGCATGCGAAGCCACGCATGGGCGCGCAGCGTGAGCAGCCGCCAAATCCTGAACAGCCAAGCCACCGTCCGGTGTGACGCGATAAGAAGTAGATCACTGCACCAAAAGGGTGAGGTCCACCAGTTGTGGGTCTCAGTTCCAAGGTGCGGCGAGTTCCATGGTGTTTGGATTGAGAATCGGATGTCCTAATGCACCAAGCTGTGGTCTTGAAACACGAAGATTCGCATGAGCCGCCTGTGTCGGAACCTCAGTCGGATGCTTCCTCGGAAGCTCGGAAACTGCCCAGTGTCTATCACATCCCATGTCATTCTGATCATGCATCCAGTCGTGCCGAACCTCAGGTTCGGCACTTCTGGACCCTCCAAACCCACTCACTCAACCTCACTCACTCAACCTCACCAACCTCACCTACATCACAGTGTCTTCAGATCACCTGCCCCTCGCAGGCCCAACCTGGACCCAATGGCACCGGGACGTGACGTCCCACGCGCGCGCACGCGCGCGCGCGCGTAGCACGGCCCCTCGGCCCAGGTACGGGTCTTGATCCAGCACGGTTAGCGCCACTAGGGTATGGGCCACTTCCTGCAGGGAAGATCTGGCTGAAAACGGACGTCACCCAAAGTATGGTTATTGGTTGGACGCACGTAGTCAGGGGGTTCTATAAACCACCCCTTTGGGTGGTGCTGGCCGCCAGATCAAGGAGGCACGGTTCAACAATTTAAGAAGAATAGAACACATCCAAGAACCAAAGCAAAAGGCAGTTGTTTGATGGCGGCGGTTCAATGCCAGAAGAATGGTGACTGAACTGGCACCCATAAAAATTGTCATCCCCTGAATTTCCCATTATATAAATGGTTTTGCATGTCAATGCATGCACCATCTACAGTCTAGGACCCCCTGGCCCTACCACACCACAGCACAGCCCAACCCCTAAGGATCCATTGGCCCAGCGCCTCCGATTTGCAGTGGGCACTCAGTAGCTGCAAGTGTTCCCAATTCAACCTTGGCGACAAAAGGCTGGTTCCTTTTGGGTCTCCCAAGGTCTCCCCTTGCGTTCTAAAGGAGCATCTTCTTTCCGAACGGAACTGTCACATTGGTCATGTTGTGGCGACCTCAAACTTCGATTCCTGGTGCTTTCCTGGCTTCAGTTCCTCTCAACACCCCTCAGGGTGCTCTGAAAGATTTGAAAAAGGAGCCAACTTGCCAGCAATATCCACCAAGAAGGTGCACAAAAGTCCTAATTTCAGCATATTTCAACTGATGCCTTGCACTATTTGTACACGTTCGATCATAGTGACAGGATCGTACCCAAGGCATCGAGCAAACTGCTGGCAGAATCAACCGAAACCAGTTTCAGCTGTTGCAATGCTTGCAACACGGTCACATCTGCCTACCAGTTATAGTTTCCCATTGCTGTGTTAAAATATCAACACACAGTCGTAGTTCAAGATTCTGAGAACAACAAGTCCATGTCCAAACTTGAACAAGTTCAGCAACATCTATACCAGGGCCCCCTAAGGGGTGAGTAATGGATACCCCTTAACCTCTAAGTAATTAGGCACCCCTTAGGGGGCCCTGGTATATGATTATATGTCTCTCACATCTGCTCAAGACCTCTCACTTGGCAGACGACTTCTTCCGAATGTCGACCCTTTCGGCAGACTTCCAGGGGCGGTAGTGGACATGGCAGCCAGCAGCTGCTGCCACATGGTGGGTTGGGGAAACTGGATCTAGTTGGTTTCAGACCCCAACACCTTCAAACTGGACCTACTTACTGTGCATATTACATATATACATATTGTATCATATTGTGGCTCGAGGTAAAGGACTTCAGGTTTTACTGAGTCTTTAAGGGTTGATTCGTATTAGCACCTTTGTTTCAGCTCGCTCCTAGAGCCGCCAGCCCCCATATGTCCCAATGCCGTGAATGTAATTACATGAATGTACCCTGTTCGGGAGACCCCCCAAACAAAAACACTGACCGACTGCAAATTCAAGTTTCATCACTTACATATCATTACCATTCAGCACCATCTAAAGCACTTCGCCGGTACAGTTGTCTCGGACTCCAAGCAACTTGGCCTCCTCCGCTGAAGCTTTGTCAAAAAGGAAGAAACCTGACCAAATCAGCCAAGACGTCTTGTGCGAGAGCCTTTGACTAAGTACTGTCAGGGAGCCTTAAGAATAAGGGCTTCCAGGGGAAACATCGGACGAACACCACGAGCAAAGGATTGGGCGCCTGACAAACAAGACCAACGCATTCGTGCATATGCGTGCATATGCTTGCATGGCGCCTGAACATGGGAACAAACACCGATTCCAAGAGCCACAAGAAGAGGATGACAAACATGCTCCCCAAACAGCTCAAGCCCTGATCACAAGAATTTGTATCAAGTGAAGGTTTATGGCGCATAGTAAAAGAAGTCAGGTTCCCCTTTCCCAACTTAAGCCCTTGGGATTCTTCTACTGGCTTTGGGAGTGGCTGTGGGCATAATAAAGGATGTTGCACCTGGACCGGGGTGAATGCTGGTGAGCTTGGGCCTATCTCCAGGCTTCATGCGCACATCTGCGGCCGTTGTCCGACCCTGACATGTCTATCAACAGGGCCAGCGGAGCCAGCGGACGGGTTTGGACATGAGAACTTCCTCTATGCTTCTGGCTCACCAGGGGAAAATCTCCGACACCACTTCTCATCCCCATCCCTGTTAAACATCTATGCTTGGAGAGCGTGAATTTGAATGCGGGAGATAAACATACGACCGTAACTATACATAAATATATATATATAATAAATATAAATATACACCATTCATCCGAACACTCCAAACTCCAGGATTCATGAAGCTGAAGAAATCGAAACCAACACGCACCCGAAAGCACCTCCCTTTCGTGCCCAAAACCCCCCTGCAAGTCCTCCGAAAATCGCCGCCCCCCAAACCTCCGAAACCACCGCCCAGAAGCGCCTGGGAACCTCTGGGCCGCCAGCACCACGCCACTGACCACCTCCACTCGAGCGCCCGGCCGCCGTGCCATCACCGCCATGCCCTGCCGCCGCTCCTGGCGCCGTGCAGCCAAGGCCGCCAGCTTGGTCGCAAAGGCGTCGTCTTCGGCGCAGGTGTCGGGGTCGTTGAGGTCAGGCCTCCAGGGCGGGTCGAAGACGCAGCGATTTGGGAGGAGCTTGAATGCTTGTTCTGTCTTCTTTTTCGAGTAGAACGGAGTGTGGAAGGACCCGGACTAACGGCAAATCCCTTGCCTTAGAAGGCCCCTCTCCAAGTTCCAAAGGACGCACAAAATTCGCTGGAGGGAAGTCAACACGCATGTTGACTAGCAAAGCTTTGTTCCTCTTGGATGACCAAGTGCTTTGTGACTCAGCTGGTGGGGTGCCCCCTGCTAGAACAAATAAAGTAAACAGTAGACATTTGGTGTTGTTGTTTCTAGCAATTGCAAAATGGATGTCGCGATTAAACAACTTATAGCGGATGTGCATTGCTGTTTGTGGATTAATCTGCACATCTGCTTGATGGCCTTAAAGCAGTTAATTAACCAACCACAAACTATGTTCAAGCCACAGCCACGGCCTATCAAAACACTTACATCAGGCAACGTTCACTAGAGGTCCTTTTTTGTTTGCACCACCTCTCTACAAACTGTTTGGAGAACTACTATGACTGCAAGGCAGCATCGAAGCGAAACACGGACCCTTGGAAGACTATACAAGTCCCAGAGTTGGTTTAAAGGAACATCAACTACTTGGCATTCACAGAATGCCTTTGGAATGCCCTCAGTTTGTGGCTTTGACATCTCAAATGCCATTTAGCAAAACCAGTCTCAACCCGGCACAAGTTGATGGCATCCAGTGAGGTTTATTACACACGCATCGAAATGACACACCATTCCGGCCGCAAACATGGATGGCATCCACACGTTGAAGCTGTGCTGTCTGGTAGGAGGTCTGGGGAGCCCGTTTGCATCAGTTTGTTCGGTGGGCCAAATGCCAGAGTGCAATTCCCTATTAATCAACAGCCATGTTTGATAATGATCGCATTTGTGGATGACGCATAAAAACTCATTACAGTACGAGTATATGTCAATTCATGTCAATTCCATGCAAATATGGCACCTTTATGGTTTAGATCTTCGACACTTTCACCAGTGTCTGCCGGCCCCTGGTCCCGCCTTGGCACCTCTGCAGTCCTTGGTCCAAGCGATGGGTCACCCCTCCGTTCTGACGCAGGTGTGCAGGTGAGGATCCATCATACCAGGACCCTCCAAGGGGTGCCCTGTCTGGAAGCCTATAGGTAGTGTGGGGTAGTCCATTGGACACCCCTTGGAGGGTCCTGGTATATTAGACTCTTGATTCATAACCCTCCCCATTTGGATGCATCGACGGGCCCGCGGACAGTCGTCATCGACGGGCGCGCGCCCACGATTTCCCTTCCGAGATTGTCTATGAACCACTTCTTCATATGAAGGGGACTATGAAGGGGTTATTTCATCAAGAGTCTACATTAGATCCTGTGAGTCTTCGCAGATCTGGTCGAAGTTCAAGTGCAGTTGACACTTCCAAAATCAAAAGCAAAGGGTTGGGTGGCAGCTTTGGTGGCAGCTCTGAGTCCGTGACCAAAACGCTCATAAGCGAACTGAAATACCCCTCCGCCGGCCAAGCGGCAAAGCCGGCACGGTGTGGCGTTCGGTGACCCTAAAGAAGTATGTCAGTATATATACTATATACATAAGTGAATGATTTATATTTATTATATATATTATATATATTTATCTGGCGTCAGAGAAGCAAACAACAACATTCATTCAACTCAGGCGCCACACTCACCGATCTTCTACACCATCTTGACAAAAAAACACTTGTGCCGCCCAAGGACAGCACCAAAAAACAACTTAAGGCTTAGACGCTTGGGGCAGGGCGCGGTCACCACAAGGACATCTCCATCAATAGGAACTTGATGGAACTTGATGAACCCCCAGTGGAAGGCTACTTGTGGCTTCTACATGCTTGTACTGCTTCTTTTGATTGCTTTAAAACATCCAACTTCCGCTTTGGCAACTCTACTTGTCTTTCTGGAGCATCTTTTCACAAGAGAGGGAAGAGGGTGACCTTTCGCAGCTTGGATGCCATGCGCCTACAAGCAATGACTTTCCACACTCGGCCGGGGCCGCCGGGTGAAAAGGCCATCACCTCGAAGCAACACCCTTCCCCCCCACAAAAAACCCAACACAAAGCCCAACTCCCTTTCTTGGCACGAATTCATCTGACACTTGCCCCAAGGTTTTTGGACAAAGAACAGACTCTACAAACCCTGCTCTGTCGACTCTGACGAAAACCACGGTGCAAAAACTGGTTCAATCCCGTAGAAGTTCGAGTTGTCCAAGGGGCCAACCTTCACATCTTGGGATTGCATGACATGATCAGATCATGACATGTCTGTTCCTCACGCGTGACATGTCTTCGATCCTCTTGCTGACGTATGTGAGTTCCAAGCGTCAGCAAGACTTCGCCCTCCTCTTCCAGCGTCACTTGGCACTTCTCAGAGACCTGCTGAAAGCGTTCGCCCGGAGGACCCCACCCCTCCTGGAAAGGGAAGCCTATAGGCTTCCAGGCCCACTCTTGATTTCAAAGCCCCAGAGACCACGGAGACGGTCGACCAACATGGTCGACCTTGTCTTAAAGTTGGTGACTAGTTGGTGCAGCTGAAGACTCTTCTGCAGAACTTCATTTTACATCTACTCTTTCTACTCCTGCTTCTTCTACTCCTTCCTCTTCTTATTATTACTATTCTTCTACTACTCCTTCTGCTCCTTCTACTCCTTCTTCTTCTTCTTCCTCTTCTTCTTCTTCTTTAGCCCAGGTCACTCTTGGACACTAGAGCCCCCTCGGAGAAAAAGAACACCCCTCGCCCCGCCGGGAACCGCGTTGGCTGGGCGCGTTTCGAAGGCCCAAAGCTCAGCTCGTGGGAGAGCCAAAAGGCTCGTCATTCAGCGCTGACCTCCCCTCACCTTTCGACCCACACCCTGAAGCTTGATGAAGGTCCAGGAGCACAGGATGTTTGCTGTTCAATTGATCAAGAATCCAAGTGGTCAAACGCACTATCTGCCTTCCCGCCCCGGCTTTTCTTTCTTTACAAAGACACTCAACACAAAACATGGAACGTTCCATCCTTCAGTTCCTCCTTAGTCCCGGGGCGCAAGTCAGACCAAACTCTGGTGTCTTTGTCTGTTAGTGTGTCTGGCCCAGCCCCTGGGCCATGTAATTATCTAACCGCTATATTTATATTACATGATTACATGGTCAATGTAACATAATGTAACCATGCACGTTAAAAAAAAAAAACACACATCTAAATCGTTAAAAAAAACCAGTGCTAAAATATGCTAAAATACACAAAGACGTACTTTCACCCCATACTTTCACCCCCACCTGCAGTTTCAGCGTGTGGGGCGCCGTTCCGGGCGCCAGCACACCCAGTGACTGGCCCCGTCGGAGCAGAAGTTCTGCTGGCTGCAGCGCCGTAGCGTTGGGCCATTGCAGGTGGATGGTCCTTGGACGATGTCGTTGGGTTTGGGGTCAATGTGCACAACAACATGGAGTGTCTGGGACAGGCACTGGAAGAAGAACTTCGTAAGAACAAATGAAAGAAAGGAAGTTGAAACGTGATCCTGCAAGGTGTCACTAGCCGATTTGATGCAGACACTTGACCGGAAGTTGCAGCGAGATTCAGTTCACGTCTTGATATGGCTGTGAGTTCAAAGCCTTCCCCACCAAACCATGGGAAGTTCTTCTATCCCCTATAATTAGAGGAATCTGTTCATTTGAACCGGGGTCAACCAGGGTGCAATGCCACGACCGCCATCCAGCCGATCACAACTGCTTCACCACGCTATACCGACCAATCTCCATACCGAGGGTCTCCCGGAGCGTTTCGCAGCCCGAGTGAAAATAGTTCACCTGGCCCACAGCTACCACGATGCCACCTGCCAGATGTATTCCTCAGCTTCACATGCCACCGCGTGAGAGCTGGGTCGTCCGTGATGCTGAGAAGCACATCTCACGGCGGCCCAAATGACACAGAACCGTTCTCAAGGGCGCTTCTTGAGGCCTGTTGACCTCTAAGTTGCTGGCCAAAAGAATGCCCAGCGGCATGCCTCAATTCTCTCCATGCTCTCTATTATGTAATTCTGGTGAGGGCCAAACATTAACCAATACACTGTACTTCAACATGCCATCCGAAGATCAAGGAATAAGTTAAGACCTCACTTCATTACCTATTCCAATAAGATCCATGTAATAGTTCTTCTACTTCCGCCGCTCATGCTTCTCCCATTTGTCTCCATCCCCCGTCCCCAGATTCTGCTGCCACGACTCCAATCCACTGGGCCTCCGCCGGGTCCGCTGCAGCGCCCGAAGCGGCGCCCGGAGCGGTGGGAGCCGCGGCGGCACTCGGGTCCGCGCGGGGAAGCGTTGGGAGGCGCTCGAGGGCTCGGGGGAGTGCCGGGCGGCGCAAGGAGAGCCTGGCCGGCACGAGGGAATGCGATAAAGATATAATTACCAGGACCATCCAAGAGGTGCCTATCAATGGCCTCTTGGAGGTGAGTCGGGGGTGTCCAAAAACCACCGGACTTGGAAGGTCCTGATAGATTTAGTATGATTTAGAGATGGCTTTCATCTCATTGTCATGTTCCATTTAGGGAGATCCCCGATCGGCCCTGACTGCAGAAATTGGCAAAATGTCTGAACATTCCAGGGCGTCGTTGCCATACACTGTCATCTAGAGTCTTTCCGGGATAGAAAAAGAACTGGTGATCCAACATAAAATTCACTCAGGTTCTAGGAAAGACAGAACTTGCATTTGGGGCGCTATGTTGATGGACATGTGTGACATGGTTTATGGGTATAGGAAGGCAATGACAAAACGTGACAAGAGCCTAGTTTGTTGGTGGATGTGGGTGCTTGGCAAAATGTTTGGGCCCATTCAAGTAGGTGCCATGTGCAGATTGCTGGTTTGCAAACCTTCTCCAATCATCTCCAATCAAGCTTTGCACGAACCAGAAACTATTCAAAACTTGATCTTGTTTCTCCAAGAGCCCCAATGTAGCATCCTTAAGGGCAGGTACAACCTGCCAAACAGTCACATTTCAAAAACTTGGGGATTGTCAAACCTCCCGTGGAAATTCTGAGCGCCCCAGCAAACCGTCCAACGTCCGATTGTCAAACCATCACGATCCTAAACCCAAATCCCCGGTCCGCGCGAGAAAACAACCGCAACGGACGGCATTTGTGGAAGCGGACCGTTTCTGAGCTGAACTCATTTGGTTCTGCTGTGGGACCGTCGATGGGGGACCATCACCGTCCTCCCGCCACAAAACCGCCTTCTCAGCTCCACAGGTCTCCAGCTCCCAAATCGGCCCCCACCTAGAGCTGAGGGCCTTCACACCCTTGATGGCCAAGTGCTCCCAGAAACTGGGCTTCACCTTCACCTCGCGACGCCAGGCGCCAGGCGACGCCAGGCGCGTGCTCCCAGCACTGAAAGCCGAAGGTCTTAGGATCAGAAACACCGGTCCTGAATCAAGTGAGAAGCCGAACTCACGGCTCGGTCGGTTCATCCGAGCTTTGTTCAAGGAGCATCTCCTGTGTGATAAAAAAGCCACAAGTCGTTTTCAGGCAATTGGATGATCATTGAAGTGGAGTTCACCACCGGTTGGGTATTCCAAAAATAGTAATCCTTTCTGGGCCATCCACGTTCTCATGAGACCCTTCGGGCCCTTCCATGGCCCGTCTTCAGCACAGCAGCCGTGATGATGAATCTTGTTGAAAAGACATGTATATGATTGTATATATGCATATAATTGTACACACAAAAGACTAATTATGTTGCATTATTGGAAACAGCACCTGGCCAAACGGTTGTAGCTGGCCAAACCTGCTCCAACATCCTCCAGTTCGACCCCCTTCCTCCCCAACTCCAGCGGCTCGGCACCTTCTCGCGCGTGGACACCGCAACAACGCTCCGCGCCGCCGCGGGGTTCAGCCGCGCGGCATCCTGAGGTCGAGGATCTTGGCACATCGGCTTTCACCAACGAGCTTTTTGACTATCCACAAGCCGGGCACAAACATATATATGAGCGACGCTGTTTATTTGTTGTGTGGGCCTTGCACATTTCAATTTGGTGAGTGTATTATCGTTTTCCACATTCTGAACTATACTCATGTTAAAGGTTGTTTTCACAATACGACAGACTTTTTGGACATGGAAGCAAACGTGCGACGGTCAAAACTCCTTTTGTGTGGTAAGGTCGTGGGTATCGCCTTCAATGGTGGCATCGCTACACACAGTGCCAGCACTTTTTTGACTTGTCGCCGTTTGGTGGGGGCAGTAGTAGCAGTAGCAGTAGCAGTAGCAGTAGGAGTAGCAGTAGTAGTAGTAGTTGTTGTTGTTGTTGTTGTAGCAGTAGCAGTAGGGGTAGGGGTAGGGGTAGTGGTAGTAGTAGTAGTAGTAGTGGTGGTAGTAGTAGTAGTGGTAGTGGTAGTGGTCGTGGTAGGGGTAGTGGTGGTAGTAGTAGTGGTGGTGGTGGTGGTAGTAGTAGAAGTAGAACTAGTACTAGTAGCACTAGTAGCAGTAGCACTAGTACTAGTAGCACTAGTACTCGTAGCACTAGTAGTACTAGTCGCAGTAGTAGTGGTAGTACTAGTGGCAGTAGTAGTGGTAATAGTCGTGGTAGCAATAGTAGTGGTACTAGTAGTACTAGTAGTAGCAGCAGTAGTGGTAGCGGCAGTAGGAGCAGTAGCAGTGGCAATGGCAGTCGCAGTGGCGGCAGCAGCAGCAGCAGGACGAGGAGGAGCAGTACTAGCAGTAGTAGTCGTCGTCGTGGTTGTGGTTGTGGTGGTGGTGGTGGTGGTAGTAGTAGTAGTAGCAGCAGCAGCAGTAGTAGCAGTAGTAGTGGCAGTAGAAGTAGAAGTAGAAGTAGTAGTATTGGTAGATTAGTAGTATTAGTAGTAGTAGTAGTAGTAGTAGTAGAAGCAGTAGTAGTAGTAGTAGCAGTAGTAGTAGTAGACCAGCCATGTCTTGAGCTTGTTCGGAAGATATGATACAAGTGGGGCACCGGTTTCGTAGCACAGGTTCGTCTACATTTACGTTATCGTTTGGTTATCGTTTAGGTTATCGTTTAGGTTATCGTTTGACTACAGCTGCATTTCGGACAAACCTGTCGCCAAAGTCCGAAGTCAAAAACGGTTTGGGAAAGGCTACACTAAGCAGAAACGAGGTTCCCTGATGGTCTTCATGGTTAAAAAGCTGTACTGCAGCTATGCAAACTAAGCTTTCCTATAATTGAACATGATGCTATCAATATGTTATCGTTTTTTGATGAGTGTATTATCGTTTTCCAAGTAAAATGCAAATTCTGCAATCCCAATGTCGGGTCCTTTACTAAATAGCTTTCCGCAAATAAATCAGGTTGCTCATATATATATATATATATATCATATACCAGCACCACCCAAAGGGTGGCTATTAGAGTGAAAATACATCTTCAGGGGGGTCTACAAACCACCCTTTGGGTGGTGCTGGTATATATATATATATATTGATTTTTTCCCAGAAGGGGATTCATTGACAGGAAAACACGGCCAACATAGTATAAGTAGAATTTGTTGGAGGTGTTGGAGTCCTTGATTATCCTCCCGTAAATGGAGGTCTCCCTGTTTTCAGGACCGCCAAAAACGCAGGTGTTGGTCTGAACCACTGGGGCTGCCAGTGCTCTCTGTGTGGTTCATTCACTGGACTCCAGCACCAACCGCTCATGACAGGCTTCCCTAAACAAGTCCATAACGGTGCCGTGCCGGGATCGCCTGGGTAACGCGTTGCCGGGAAATCGAACAGTTGGCATAGCCAGCACCGGAACATGGCCAGCATGAAACAGTGCAAGCTGGCGCAAGCTGGGTGCCGGTCAGGTTTGGTCATTAGGCCCAAATCTCAATCAACTTCTATACCATGCATGCACTCGCTGAACATTCATCGAAGTGCCAGCTTCTTCAGTGCCAGCTTCCTTTTAGAGGGTTCCTTTGCGTGAGTCGGAGGCTTGTTCGTGACCGAAGCAACCAGGAACCAGGTGGAGTGAATTCACCACCTGTTGGGTTCTTTCGGATCTCATGCTCCACCGCTGTGGGCCATGCCACGTTGGCCCATGATTCTATGGGAGTCAACTGCCACGCTCAAGTCCGGTGGAGTCCATCGCTTTGTGAAGGATCGCAGCTCTATCACGTCGTCCTCACGTCCTCAGGTCCTTCCGTTCAAGTCACGTAGAGCGACAAAGGAGGTAGGCCTTGCGGAACGACCGAGTCGAGACTGCGTTCGTCTTCGTCCATGGGGGTGCTACACCCGGGAAGAGACCCACATGGAACCTGAAAATGGACCTTTGGAAGACTACTTTCCTCTACAACCCAGTGGTTTTCAGGTTCTATGTTAATCTTCCCGGGTGCTATCCATGGAGGTTGGGTGTGGAGGCACCACCACGGTTGCGGGTGCCTCCTGGAGTAGTCTTCCTATGTTGACGGTTGATTCACAAGATGCCCCCCCAGTACTGGAAATCGAGGTAAAACTATCCGTCAAACAGTTTCTTCTTTGATCGTGTTCGATTGATCATGTGTTTAATTCATTAAGCAACCGATTGATCAATGCTTCATTCATCAAGCAACATGATGCTTCCAGTTTACCTAACGATATAAGGATTTTGGCGCTACTGTGCTGATCGGCTTGATCACTCCTGTGAAGCACAGCTAAGCAAGTGACGATGTACTTTTGCTCCAGTTCAAGCATCCCTTGTGTGAATATCAACATCTCCAGCCATCCAACGAAGCCGACGAAAAAGGGTCGCATACGCATCAAGGTGAGAAGAGAAACACCAATGCTGAAACAAACCACCGTGCGGCTATTGTCATGGCAGTTGTCCAACCATGTAACAACATCAAAGCCCACCTCACGAGAATCCTACCCACCAATCTCATGTGGCATCTAGACCTGGCATAGGAACTTCTTGTCTTCGCCTCCGCTGCGGGTTGCTAGAGCTGCTGTGCGCGAGCAAACTTGCTACACTTGGACAATCCCCCTGTTTGTGGAGCAAAGTGGTCTTCCACAACTAACGAACAAAATCATAAGAATCTATTTGAACACTTCCATGTGAGTGAGTCAGAGTGTTCCTTCGAAACTCCACCCTTCCGACTGAAAACCCGTCCCGGAAGCTGCCAAGTAGCGCGAGAAGCGCCGATCCTCGCTGTCCCACTGGCTGCGCAGCGACTGGGGCGCGGAATGAAACGAGAGCCGAGCTCCCAGCTGCGTGAAATCCAGCATGGAAAGCCTGGCAGAAGGCTGGCAGCCACGTGGCGCTCCCATGGGAAGGTTGTGCAGGTATCTACAGGGACCTGGTAGGGCTGGTCACAAGATTCAGGACATTTGGTCCATGTGCGACAAGTCCTTTCCAAATGCAAATGGGTCAGACGTACTGCTAATCAAATACACTCAAATGATCATTCGCTGTCTTCGCCCTTCTCACTCCACGTGGGCTCGTTAGTGCCGTTCTCACGACACACCGCGACAGGTGGGACACGAGTGTCAGCGCTACCTGAGAAACCGTACACATGTTGTATCATGTGGTTGATCCCATGCGCAGTTTTCAGCAGGGTTTAGGGTTGATCTTCAATGGTTTCCTTTGATTTCTGGGTTGGACAAAGGTTGAGGAACCCTATAGATCCCTATAGGAACAAAAACCATTGGTATAACTGTATAACCCCAGGTGACGGGTCCTGGTTCAGGTCACTTAACCTCTCTTGGTGTTTCTCTGAAATGGTTTTGTCAGCTACCAATCTAGCGATGGCCTCCAACTATAAGTTGCCACCATGATCCACCATGCTATATACCAAGCGTTCCCCTCCGGCCTGGGCGGTGCAGTTCCAGGGCGTTGTCGGGTCGACAAGGCCGTGGCGGCGCCCGTTGCGCCGTGCGCGTCGACGTCGCGCGGCGCGCGGCTCGGCCCGGGGCGCCCGGGGCGGGGGTCGAAGAACCAATCCTCGCCTCAAGTGAGATGATGCGAGAAAAGTAGGAGATGGGACCAGGTGGAAAGTGCTTGGAAACACCCCAAACGCATGTATTTGGTGATTCGTTTGGGGTGGAGGAAGGTCATGGTCTTTTTATAGTTCTGGCGTCCTCACCTGACCTTGAACATCTGTGAGTTGCAGCCTTCTTGCTATCTTTGGGGGTGCCCATGTCTCTAGAGGGTGCCAAACTGTTTTTCAATTATTGCCTATTGTCATCTATATTTTAACTATGGGTGACTACCCTCAGGTTTGAGGACAGCAAACGTTCACCTCCAAAAGCAACGCTAGAATCATCATGGAAGCTCCAACATACCTCGTGTGCAGTCTTCTACCAGGACCCTCCTGTCGGGGTGCCCTTTCTTATCAGCCGAACGGCTGGTAGTGTGGGGTAGTTCAGCCAGGACACCCCGAGGGTCGGAGGGTCCTGGTATACATACCTTGTTACACTAAATGACTCTTGGAACATTCCAGGTTGTGTGAGAGAACGCATCCATCAACCGGATGACGCCGATGATGATCTGACCACGCCCAGTGGCCATCCAAAGCACTCAGGTCGCCTAGGCCACTGAAACGTGAGCCGCCCAGGCCCAGGGCCTCCAGCATACTGGGCGCTTGAACCTGAGAGGTTTTTTCTTGGTAGTGGCGATCCTGAGACATATCCAAATCGCATGTGGCTAGTCATTCTGAAAGACTTCTTGAGAATGAAGCTATATCGAAACTAACAGCTGCTGTAGTATGCAGTTCTTTGAAATGATGTCCGGGTGTCTGTGGCAGCAGTTTCTTGCATCGTCAGATCAAAGGTGATGTCCACTCAGTCCCTCAAGTCTCAAAATTCGAGAGTATGTCAAAAACCCATCCGGTGGCTCCATTTGTTGATCCTTCTTCGGCGATGAAATTGGATTTCAAGTTTTCCTCTAAGGCTACAGACTGCCCCTGACCTCTGGATGATCAGACCTTCATCTCCCTGCGGACCCTGGCGAACCAAAAACGCACTGGTCAGCTTATGGAAGAAAAGACCAATCCGATTGAAATGAAAAGGCCCCCTAGAGGTCCCCTATAAATTGAAAAACATCAAAATGAGTCTAAATGATTCTAGAGTGGGAGGGGCTCAAGCAAATGTGCAAAACCACTGAATTCCAAATTGCCAAGCACAATCCATGTTGCACACCAGTAACAGTAACAGTCAAACATGAGTTCCTTCCATACGCCCAACCCACACACAAAACAAAGAACACACACACACACACATCTATGTGGCCTATCCACTTGCCTCACCATCCACCACTTGCCTAACCCCCAGACCCCTCGCCTTGCCTCACCTCCAGACCCCCTTGCCTCACCTCCTTTCCTCCCTGGCGTTCCCACAGGGCTTCCAAGTGGCTGAGAAGGCCGACCCCGTCCGCACGAAGTTTCGCAGCGACAGCTGCGGCGCCCAGTCGCCCATCTCAGGCAGCGATGGGGGAGAAGCCTCGGGGTGGGTCCAGCCTGGGTGGGATCAAAGCGCCGGAGACGGACCGGGACGGAAAGAGAATTGGCCATAGAGAACAATGATACCACTGTTTTTTGTTGTTATCATATATATACCTAGAGAATCCTTTACCTTCTTTTTTTGGGGTGGAAGAAAAAACACTAGGTTTATATTAAAAAACATAGGTTTCTTGTGGGAGGCCATCATCACATATGACATTGGTAGGAATCCAATGGTCTTGGAATTGGTTGATGCCACAGCTAAACAAATAAGCAACCCCATCAACACAAACAAACCGCACAAAAAAGGTCTGGTACCGTTTCGACACCCACATCCCATCCCAGATTCATCTGCACACTTTTCTAAGACAAAAGGCCAGCCTTTGAGAACGCTACATGCGCAGCAACCAAATACCGATCTAGGGAACGTGTCGCAACTTGTCTTATATTCACACGCCTGGATAGCCTCGAAGCCTTGCCGATACAATCTTCGTCTATCTGGCATCCAAATAGCAGCGGGTTGACTGCTGTTGAGACCTGAACTCCATCAGACCACACTTGCAGCATCACATGATGAAACACATGAAGCTTGGGGTAAAGTGGAAACAACCACTGTCGGCCCAACTGGAATTGCGCTTCAGCCATTTGCGAATATACCGAGAGAAAGCTCAAGCCTTGCTGACTGACATGCACACACTCATTTGCAGTCAAAAATGCACCTGCTCGATACAATGTACTGAATAAAGCCATACGACATTTGACAAGAAAACGATCACGATCAGCACAAACCTTTCCTAGCAGGTCCACAAGCCACAAACCAAAATTTGCTGTCAATGCTCCCTTGTGCCAGTTCCCCATTGCTCCAGAGGAATCATTGTAGCTCATGAGGTACGGTGTAATCTTCGACACATGAGCTTGCTTCCGGTTTGTCGAACACCAAGAAAGGTAGTCCTCAGTCAAAAAGTCCCATTTCAGGTCCAGGTTTGCAAGAGGTAACACCTGTAAGACCAATTGAACCACGCTTGCAATGAATGAACGTCCAAACCCCAAATGGACCATATGCCAAATGTCCGACTTAAACAGACTAGCTGGGTTTGAGCGATCATACAAAAGGTACTTCACAAGCGACGGAGTGCGAACCCATGGAAGCTTCACCCCCTCTGTGACCCTCCACGCTGGTTGCAGTGTGGCCAGCTCCTCAGCCGGAAATGATCTGGTCCCTGCCAAGCAATATGGACAAATGCCTTTCGGCTGGCCTCTTTCTTCACCCCGCTTTGCTGAAGTGTTGTATCCACGGTAAAAGTGGGCAACTTTCCCTAAGAAGGGTGCATCACCTTTGACCGCAATAAGCACTATGCGAAACCTGTTCCCAGTTGTTTCATCCAGAAAGCCAACACGTAGACAATTGCTAAGTGACCTTGCAATGTGAGTAACGGCCTCATGGAAAACCTCGGGTGTGTCATCATACGCAGACTTTGGCAAGGTGTGCAGGACATACCGTGTAGTGAACGAGTGTCCAGCATAGTTCACCCGAAGGTTGGCTGAGTCAGGATCATGCCCACCAACCCTCTTCTCATCAAATCCACGCCCCAGTGCACTCTGAAGAGAACACACCATAAGAGCTGAGTGCTTCAATGCGCGTCCTTCATCTCCATGCAAACAAAATGCTGCAGTACGGGAAAGGTCAATGTCTGAATCACCCAGAATGTTGAAGAGCTCAAAATTGGGATTTGTCAACTCAAACAAACGCCAGAACTCTGACCAATTGCAGCAGGCACCACCATAGTCATGAAGGTTACACCCCGCCAACACAGGCCACAGGCCATTCTTCACAATAAACTTCAGCCATGATTCCGGCGAAATCCATGGTAGGTCCACACCATCACAGGACATTGTCTCTACAGGTATGTCCAACTTGATTTTTTGTTTTTTCAACACACGGTGAACATCCCTTTCAGAATTCTGGAGGCCACACTTTGCCCACAGTTGGACCCCAGTGCTAATGGCCCTCTCTTCACCCATGTCATGGGCCACCGCTGCAGCAGTCTTGATCTGGCTGACACAGCTGGCCTCAGCAAACCGGGGGCAAGGGCGCACAACAAAAACATACTTGCAAGAAGAAGCCTCATGCTCCAGAACCATGTTACAAGCTGTTCATTAAATTAGATACTATAATCTTGGTCACACAAATCTGACACCAAACTTGCAACAGTGCAACATGAATCACTGACTTCATCACACACCAACAAAATGCAACATAACACATTTTCCCACCGCCACACCAGCATCACATGAATTATGATGGCAATTCGCTGTCTAAAAAACAGCACATGCAACAATTTGAATTGGTTGGAAAATGGTTCGTTGAAACACCAGGTTCAGAAAAGGAAACCATTCAGGCCATAGCCGCGCTTCGCACTTGCATGCTTGGCCGTTTCCATGACTTGTACACAACATACGTCAGATATGGACCACTGTCAACATCTTTCACACTATCACCACCACGTCGTTCATTCTTACATCCCTGGATGCCTTAGTTCCAGAAAACCCCACAGTCTATCACACACGCAGGGAAGCACCTTTCCCAGCAATGATCAGTCACCCCAACAACAAGCAACAGGGCATTAATTTTGAAACTCTAGCCATGCAAACAGGTCACTTGAAAACCTCTCAATCAGTGCAGCTTCAAGGAAAGCTGGGCCATGCGGGTTTGAAGCTGCATAGAGGACAAGCATGTAGTCAAACTTCTCTCTTGAATGTTTGTAGCCAAATTTGGCATTATGCCACCTGACCGCTGCATCATGGCAGAAACCAAATTTGAAAGTCATCGGTTTGTTTTCCAATAGGAGGCGCTCAAAGGTGTTGATGGAATGTTGTAGGACCAATCCAGATGTAGCCCCTGGTTTCGGCAGCGTCATCAACAAGCTAGAATCCATTTCAATTTTCCGAAATACATCTTGTGACCTGGGAAGGCATCTAAGATCTTCATATTGCAGGTAGCGATCCTCAAACATAAGTGAACCTGCAGGTTTGACTTGACCACCCCAATCACTGCCATTCTCAAGCGGCAAGCAAGTGTAAGCCAACTCCAGTTCTGGTTCTGCAAGGGGCTTTGCATATGATCGCACGGCTTTCACCCGTTTGTATTCCCAAGCATAGGGGCCCAAAGAGGCCTCAGGTAGGTAGGTAGGTAGGTAAGTAGACCAGTAGGATAGGCATACCTCCATACTAGTTAGACCATGCACACAACAGGATAAGTCCACATGTACTAGCTACACTCTGGCCATTACTGCCACTCAAACATGCAAATTTAATAGGGCAAGAAACTGGCCGGTGACAGCTCAAGAGTTCTATGAGCTCATCATCCGAATCTTCCATTGCACAGTAAGCCCGGCCAAAGCTGTGTTGTTTGAGATGCTTGTTGAATTCAAGTTGTATAGTTGGACGGGAAACCACAAACCACAATATTATATCCCTGATGCTTGTTTCTCTCAAGCCTGCAAACATATTTGCAAGTGTTATAAATTGTTAATTTTCCAAGAATCTTGTACTCCCTATCCTGGCCAGAGCCACAACACCTCACCTTTGACGCGGGCACCATGGACAGGGATCAATTTCTCTAGTGAGCCCCAGCCCAAAGTCTGAGCTCATGGCCCCTTGGCTGACTTCCCAACGAGACCTGGCAGCCAGATTGACCCAGAAATGGTTGTGAGGGGAGCATGGAACAGATCCAATGGCTGACATTGCGCAAACATGTCATAGTGTTTTTTCACCATCACACATGGCTCCAAATTGAAGCCTGATTGGCAGCTAAGAAACTCCTATGCCATCAACGGTGCTCTTGAGTGCATGGATGTATCAGCATGTACCAACTGCATGTATGACCTGTTGCTATTCAACCACTTTTGGGGGTCCTTTTTTTCAATGCATTATAGAGATCTTGCAGCACCAGAGCAAAGGCACATGGTCCATGAATTTGGATTGCATCCAGGTAACGCAACCCCTCCCGGCAAACTTCCGTATGAACAATCCCTCTAGCTCAAGATATCTCTCAAGAGGGCTGTCAATACCAACCCCAAACCATAAGAAGAGCTCACTTGCGTTCCACTTCAGCATTGTCCTCCTTCTTGACCTTCTGAAAATGGCGCTTGGCAGACCTGGGCTAGGGCAGTGTGACGATTTCCAGACACAGTTGACTGACTATAGTCCAACTTGTGGGACATGGATGGGGGTCTTGCCAAGGACATCCAGTGTCAATCCATGCCCTGCTGGAGATCAAAGCTGACCAAAAATAATTTTGAGGGCCAGGCCGAATCTTGGCTTCATTCTGGGCAACTTTCGTGCACCTGGCCATGTGCTCAAAATTGTTGGGTTGGGGCAAGGTTGACTGAGATGACTAAGTGTGCATCCTAGGCACACAAATGTGGAAGCCTTCATCATTTTCTCAGCAGCTTGACTCCACCTACAAACATAACAGCGCACGGTCGAGTCTGCCAACAGAACAAAACAGTTTGTAAACAATCAGCAATTTCTTAAGTGTCATCCAATTGAAAACATGTGCTGTTGAGCTACGCTTGGTTGTGGTCATCCCTTTCACCCTGTGCCACATGCTCCGATAGCTTGTTGTACTCACCATCCAGGACGTTCAGATCCGCATTGAGCTGCACCACAGCCCTGGGCATTGGATTCGGTCAAGGCCAATGCAGATCAACCGGTGAATGCAAGACATGTTCAAAACATATTTATGAAGGAAGCTGCAGGCTTGCTGTCTAGAAACTTTCTTGCAGTCATGTCTTCATTGTAGTTTTTCTGGAGATCACTCACCAATGACCTGATCTTGGCAGCCTTTGCCAGCACTGATTCAACATGTTTGGCGAAGACTTCCTTTGCCCGAGCAGCCTCACGCGTGAGAAATCCAATGTTTCATCTCAATCCAAATGGGTTGTTTAAAGATCCATGTCATTGACCCACCCACACCACATTGGAAAGGGCAGTTTGCAAGACCTGTAAGATGGACA